TCTGTTGCTAGTTAGTGCCAGCAAGTCTGTCTTATTCCATACATAAACTGAGCATTTTTTGAAATAAATAGATTTTATTTGGAGGATTTTTGGAGAGGGAGAGAAAGGGATAAGCAGATAAGTGGGGGGAATGGAGAGTAAGAGAGAGAGTAACGCGTCCAGAGAGAACGCGGGCTTCTCCAAGGGTAGAGAGAGCCCCTAGACACATCCTAGCATTAGGCACGAAAGCATGAAAGTACACATCTCAAGAGGGGAGATGCAGGCGACACATGTGCTCAGCCCACCTGTGCTCAGCCACGTGGGCACAAGCAGCACATACGCTTGGACAGCATATGCCTGCCAAAAACTGAGCATTTTTAATGCACTTAATGAAATAGTCTTAAAAATTCTCTGGTTGGGGCCATAGAGAATACAGGAGGTAAGGCACCTACTTTGCGAGCACCTGAAACTGGTTCAAGCCCTGGGTCCATATAGGACTGAATTCTGAGCACAGAGCTGGAGTAAGCCTCCAGCATATCTAGGTGTGACTCCAACCAAACATCCAGGACTGCAAGAAATTTTCTGATCAAGGGAAAGTGTTTTTGTTTTTATAGAATAGGAAATTGTGCCTTTATTCTTTAAGTTTGTCTACTGATTGGGTTTGTGAAATATTTCAGCTGTTGCTTTTAATATCACCCTCATTTAAAAAAAATAAAATTGAATCACAGTAAGATGTAGTTACAAAGTTTTCATGAAAGAAAAATGTTTTAATAAATGGCTTTTCAATTTAAGACAAAATATACTGTCAAGGAGTGGGTAACTTTAGAAAGTCTCAGGACACTTAAAATGATTATATAATGCAGGGACTTGATAGATTGTATAATGTAGGGACTTGTCAGATTTATTGAGGAGTTTAGGTGTTTACCTTGCATAGACCAGACCCCTTTTAAATCCTTGTTACCACATAAGGTACTTCAAGTACCCTTCCCCCACCAAGAGTGCTCCCCATACACTGTAGCACTGTAGCACTGTCCTCCTGTTGTTCATCGATTTGCTCGAGCGGGCCCAGTAACGTCTCCACTGTGAGACTTGTTGTTACTGTGTTTGGCATATCAAATATGCCACGGGTAGCTTGCCAGGCTTTGCCCTGCAGATGAGATACTCTCGGTAGCTTGCCGGGCTCTCCAAGAGGGGTGGGGGAATCGAACCCAGCTCGGGCCGGGCTGGCCATGTGCAAGGCAAATGCCCTACTGCTGTGCTACCGCTCCAGATCCCCATACAAACAACTAGAATTAAAGCTTCTGAGCACCAGTAGGAACAGCAATAAAATAAAACAACATAAAGTAGACCAGTAGGCCTGGCAAGGCACTAGCCCAGAATGGAACTGACTTGGCCTCAATGCCTATCCCTGTCAGGTGTGATTCCTGAGTACAGAGGCAGGATTAAGGCCCGAGCACAGCCAGTTGTGCTTCAAACAACTGAAAAGAGACAAAAATAAAATAATTTGGGGTTGGAGGATAGTACAGCAGGTAGGCATTTGCTTCGCATATGGCTGACTCAGTTTCATATCCTGGCACCCCATGTGTTCCCCTTAGAGCCTTCAAGGAGTGATCCCTGAATACAGTGTCAGAAGTAAGCCACTGCTGGGTGTGACTCAAAACCAAAAGAAAAACAATAATTATATAGTGGCAAGACTGTGTTGAAGCAAATGAACTAAGATACAAATGCCATAAAAATCATGTTTTGAATTTTGGTTTCTGGCCCAAGTGGAGTAACAGGGATCAATTTTACAATCTTTGTAAAACTTTTTTAAAAACTACAAAGTACACTAATGGTTTTGAAAACCTTAGGTATAAAATGAAAGTGATCTCTGAGAAATTATAAACAAATATGTGATCCCCACATTTGCCCTAGTTGACTGTGTGGAGAGCATTTTAGGGTATCACATAGGTGGAAGGAATTCTCATAGATTCATGCATTCTCTAGTGCGTTCCTGTCAGACATACTGGGAAACCTCATTGTTCACCCACTTTAATAATGCTTAGAAGGGTCTTGCCTCAGAAAAGTGGAAAAATTAGCTGCAAATTTATGCTCTTTAGATAAAGACTCATGAAGTGTGAAAGGAAATAATCAAGCAATAAAATTGGCTCCAAAGAAATTACCTGTGTCCCCAAACAAAGTTAAAGAATATTTAACTGCACAAAACTATTGAGTACACAACAAGTTACACTCCCTATATCTGGTATCAAGTACAATGTAAGATGGGTTTACCGCAGTGTTATTTACAATAGTCAAGGGCTATAACCAACCTATGTACTGAATAGGTGTCTGCATTTAAAGATAAGTGCTCATGCAAGCACACATATATTTATACAAAGACACTGGAATGCTATACTTGGGTATAATAAAAGCTAAACCCTCTTGTAATTTTTAGCAACATGGATGACTATAGAAATTATTGTGCTCAGTGAAATAAGTCAGAGAAGACAAACACTGTAAGATCTTCCTTTATACTAGATATAGAGAGAAATAAAAATCAATCAACTAAATGAAATAAAAATAAACAGTCAGTCCATAAGAATGAATTCATTATGATCATAAGGGAAAGGAGAAGAGAGGTGGATAGATTTACTTGGTGTCAGTTGTATAGTAAAAGAATCAGATTTTCATGTTGAACTGAATTTGATATACACAGGTAATGATTTATAACAATAAACACATGAAATTTATAATGTTATCTGTATGCAATGTTGCTATAATACAATTTTGAATAAAGGCTATTTAGTAGCGTTTTAAAAATTACCAGTCATCCAAGACTCAGTAAAGTTACATAGAACTGAGGTGAAAAATTAATTGAAATTGATAGAGATCAGACATATAGAACAATTATAAACTATAACTATTTTCAATATTTTCAAAATAGAAGAAATATTTTCATGTAGAGACAAGAAAAGGTTAGAAAATCAGGGCTAGAGTGATAGAACAGTGGGTGAAATGCTGACTACCTGGGTTCAATACCCAGAACCATATATGGTCCTCTACCACCTACCACACCCCACCAGAATGATCCAGGAATAGGTCCTAAATACCGCTTGGTATAGCTACAAAAAAAAATACACACACACAAATTTTACTTAAATAATATGTTAGGTACCACAAATCAATTTTAGGTTAAAATATATACTGGAAGGTACTACATATCTGCTGTGCAAACTGTTGGATTAGTCAATTTGGTATTGTAGAGTATTTAAAATAAATCACATAGGAAAAGACTGAAAACTAAGAGAAAATACCAGTGAGCTTTGGAAGAGCATCTATCAATCTAATCTAATGTGTCATCCAAGTCTGTCAAAAATAAGAAGGGGGCAACGATATTTTTAATACAATGCCTTGGACGTATATAAATTTGATTAAATCTATAAACCCACAGATATAAGAAGCTTACAGATCTTAAGAAAACAGTTTCCTTCAAAACTGCACTAAGACATGTAAGAGAATAATTGATCCAATCTCAATGACTCCCCAGTAAACATTTCCTATGTCACTGTCTTAGACTCACCTTAACAAGGAACAACTTGAAATGTACCAAATCTGTATCAAAACAACTCCTTTTAGTGGACTTGAATACAGGCTACATTTCAATGTTATTTTTTTCATGAGTATATTATTTTATAACAAAACATATTAAATATAAAATAACCTTGTTTCATATAACCTTGAAGATTGAAGGTTTATGCATCTACCCAAGAACACCAGGTGTTAGTTATGCATCTGTCAGTAGGTTGGAAATCTAGAAATGCTGCATCAGTTCAAAAGTCACTCTAGTGTTGATTTTATAAAATGCATTTTCTGCATGACAGCAGATTGAAAATCCATAAATTTCTTCTATATCCAATCCCAACACTTGAGTGAATACAAGTTTGATTGATATATACATAATTACACAATATTTAAAAGTAGTCATGGTTTATTTAGATACAAATTATATGACTGGAAGTATTTTGATACTTAATTCCTTAACATCAAGAGGAATATTTGCTATGCAAAAATTGTTTGAGGATGGAGAACTGTAAAGCTGAATATAATATTGCTTTTCTGAATGTCACAGTTTGAAATCTCTTAACTAAATTAACATACGATCTTTCTATTTGTTTTCATCTGTATTAATCAGTATTTTCTACCAATAACAGTTGGTCACATTTAAATCTGCTTGATTAAAAATGCTCTATGAACAATTTGGTCTAAAAGAGGCTGCAAAAATACTTAAATGTTGTCTAATAAATATAGTATTTCTTGGAACTAAAGAGCATATTTTACAACCTAAATTATAACCTCCACAATCAATTTATATCTATCTGCTTCCTCAAAAGACCCAGCAAGCTGAAAATAAACTACATACTGATTCTAATCCATTCGTTGCATTTCCATTAACATAAACCATAAAAAAGTCAATAAGTACCAACAATTAAGCCGGTGCTGTTTTGGTCTCTGGACTATCTTAAAAGGCATGTTGTCAATAGGATATATAGAAATATTTCCACATCACCACAATCTGTCCATAGGGAAGCAGAAATGTAATTTTATCATGATGGATATTTCTATCAACTACATTATTGTTAAATATACAACAAGCTATGTTTCTGAACAGGTTTCAAAAAAAGGCAAAAGCACATATTGTCCCAAAGCCATAGCAACCTCTCATATATATATATATATATATATATGAATATATATATATAACCTTACATAGGACAGATTCAATTATACTTTGCTGCTTATCAGACAAAACAGGTACATCCAATCTAATCCAATCTTGAATGCATCCTGACAAAAACCACCCACGGCACCATCCCCAAGATGATCATTTTGATGATGCTTCTAATGTGTATTGATAGCAACAAAATTTGGGATTATAAATTTGTATTCACCATGTGACTTTAAGGAAGTAAACAGCAGAATGGTAGTGTAGCAAATATAAAAACACACACACAAAGACACACACACCAATCTCAGAGACTTACCTTAAGATACCATTTGTATTTGGCATGGTCCCAATCCTCAGGATTTTGTGTCTTCGTGAAGAACAGTTCAGCTTCTGATAGCCATTGATTAAATACCTTTATATCATAATGGAACCGCCGCCATTTTTCAACAGATCTGTCAAATCTCCTAGAGACAAATATATGGATAAAAAATTTAGATGGATGATTTTTAAATTAGAAATAGGCATATTTTTATTAACTAATACAATGTTATTCTTATAATTTCTCACAATTGTAGATTTACTTCAGTTGGTGGATACAGCAATGGGTAGAAAAAACTACTTAAAATCAAACACTGCAATTTTCTTTTAAATTGAACACATTTCTTGATTAAAACTGAAAGTTTTTATGAATACTATTTTCTTCTCTATAAATATTTGCAAAGACTTAATTCCATGAATTACAAATATACTACAGTTAATAATGCATTTTGAAGTTAAAATATTAAATTTAAATTTGGGAGGGATCAAAATAAAATGACCACAATCAATTTCAAAACTACCCAGTTTGGGGGTAGGAGGAGTTGGGGCCACACCCAGTGGGCTCTGGCCAGCTTGGAATTATTGCCAGCATTTCCTGAGGACAATGTGCTTCATAGGAATGAACCATGGTAGGTGAAAAGCAAGGAAAGTGCCTTAAACCCTGTGTTCTCTCTTAAGACTACTCTTAGTCTGAAAGCGCCTGTTCCTTAGGATGCCCAAGCCTACATAATAGATATAAGTGCAGATGTAAGAAATTGAGCAACTAACTGGTATACTAGCATAAACCAGGTGGTGAGCATTGTTTTTATTCTTCTTGTTCTATTGTATTCACTAAAACTGTGGGATTATTGGGGGACACTTGCCAATAGTAGGCCCAGGAGGCCTCAGCGCCTGATTTGGAAATTCTCAGATGATGGTTCACTACAAAGGCCTGATGTCATGTGTTGGGTCCTTTAGCTCCAAGGATACCTGGATGACCCCACACATTCTGGGGTCCTTCAGGCTCACACCTAGAGGTGCCCAGGTGCCTCCAGGGCTGCACCCAGCAATGCTAAGATGCCTGTGTGTTGCTGGACACCAAAACCAGGAAGATACATGTCTGCACCCAAAAAGCCTCACTATTAGCACAGCGAGTAAAGAACTTGTCTCACACATGACCTACCATATGTTTCAATCCCTGGCACCCTATATGATCCCGTATGCTTGCCAGGAGTGTTCCATGAGCAGAGATGCAGGAGTAAGCACTGAGCACACCCCAAACAAAATAAACAAAAGAAAATTGTTAAAAGTTATACTACCCCCTGGCCACTGTATTCCTAACAATTTTAATTAAAAAGCTGATGGAAAATAGATAATGTAAAGTTCCAATGCCATATAAGAAGAATATAACTCCTGACCATAGAATAGACTGACACAAAATAAAATTGAATTAGGGCTTTTAATTATCCCAGAACAGTGCACACAGGAATTATTTAGGATTATTTTTAAAATAAAAGACTGATTCTGGGGTCACATAATAGACATATTTAATGATTAATCTCTGAAGGCATAATTCTGACACTGATATTAAGAGCATTTTGGTCTTTTAATATATGTTCAAGGTATCATTCTGAGTGAAATGTGTCAGAAGGAAAGGGACAGACATGAAATGACTGCACTCATTTTTGGGGTTAAAAAAACATAGCATGAGACTAATACCCAAGGACAGTAGCAAAAGTGCTGGGAGGATTGGTCCACAATGGGCAGCCTGTGTCAAGTGCTGGGGGAGAAGGCAGGTGGCATAGAGACGGGACCACTATAGAAATGAGAGATGTAAATGACCACTCTGGATAATAACTGAGTACTGACTGAAAATAGGTACAGGAAAAAACATGATGACCTCTCAGTACCTTAATGCCAACCATAAGGCCCCCAGAGGGAGCTAGATAAAGAAGAAAAGTGCCTGCCATAGAAGCAGGCTGGAGGTAAGGGTGGCAGAAGGGGAACTAGGGACATCGGTGGTGGGGAGGGTACACTGAGAGATGAGTTTTGGAACATTGTATGACTGACGCCTAACCAAGTGTTTGTAACTGTGTATGTAACAGTGATTCAATTAAAAAAAATTAAAAAAAAAACATTAAAAGGCACTGTGAAGTTCTCTGGGTCCTATGATCTATGACTTGATCACTTGATCACTTGACATCCTGTTACTCATCGCTTTGCTGGAGCAGGTGCCAGTAATGTCTCCATTCATTCCTGTCATGTGCTAGTGTAGCCCAATGGTGTCTGCTCATTCTAGGAACATGAACGCCTCAAACCAATCATTCAGGGTCTTGATGAAGAAGTCTGACCATCTCACAGGTGGGCAGCCACGCGATATTTTGACGTCCCATGGAATCCAGTTGGTAATGGCTCTAGTCCAATGGCCGTCTCCAAATCTCATAACATGCTGAGCCCATCTGATTTTCAATACCTTGGCAAACGAGACAGTGTCCCTGATTCTTGATCATCGAAGGAGGTTGGAACTCCGAATTATTTTTCTCAATTGAGTGAAGTGTGATATTCCAAGCATAGCTCTTTCAATTCTTCTTTGGGAGACAAAAATGGCATTATCATCCTGTTTTTGTAGGGCCCAGGTCTCTGAGGTGTATGTTAATGCAAGAGAACAGTGGAATCGAAGAGATGTGCACAGAGCTGGAGGTTCTTTGTTCTCTTAGCTATTTCTTTGACACTCTTGAAGGCTTCCCAAGCCACTCTCTTCATCATACACAACTCAGGTGCCAGGTAATTTGTCATGCTGACTTCTTGACCTAGGTACACATAACTGTTGCATTTGGAGATGTTCTTCCCATTGAGACTGAATGGAACGTCAGGAATGATATTGTCTCTAATAAACATTGTCTTGGTAAGATTTAGCTGTAGTCTGACCTTTCCTCACACGTGGTCGAAGTTGGCCAGCATTTGTGCTGCTTGGCTGATGCTTGGTGTTATTAGAATGATGTCATCAGTGAAGCAGAGGTGGTGTAGTTGCCGACTGTCTATCTTCACTCCCATTCCTTCCCATTCCAGTCATTGAATGATGTTCTCGAGGGTGGCACTGAAGAGATTTGGTGAAATAGTATCACCCTGCCAAACTCCTCTCTTGACATCAGTGATCATTTCTTTGTGGAATTGTGAGATCCTGTTAGTGAATGCATAATACAGCTCACAGAGGATCCTGCTGTATTGAGTTTGAATGCCCTGTTTGGCTAGGGCTTTCATGATCGCTTCTGTCTCAACAGAATCAAAGGCCTTCTTTAAATCAATGAACATTAGACAGAGCGGCATCTTGAACTCCCGAGAAACCTCAATGAGCTTGGTTATCATGTGGATATGGTTGGTTGTGATGAACCCTTTGCAGAACACGGCTTGCTCGTGTGATTGTACTTCATCTAGTATTCTGCCAATCCTATTCAGGATGACTCAATTGAACAGCTTGTAGACAACAGAAAACAGGCATATCAGGCAATAGTTGCCAATGCTGTGGATATCTCCCTTCTTGTACAGTAGTACAGTCCTGCTGGTTTTCCATTGGGACAGAACCTTGCATTCAGAGAGGTAGCGTGTGAAGAGCTAAGCCTATGTATTGAAGAGTACTGATGGCAGGTTCTTCAGGTGTTTGGATCTGACCTTGTCTGGGCCGGGTGCTGTTAGCTTCTTTACCGAAGAAATGGCATGTCGAATTTCGGAAGGGAGAACGTTGGGAACAATATATCCATCCTGCAGAATTTGGTATGTGGGCAGGTAGATGTGGCTATTGAAGAGCTCTGAGTAGAAGTAATGGATAATGTTCTCTATTGCCCTTCTGGAAGATGTGAAACGTCCATCAGACATTGAAGGGCAATCATGTTGGTCTTGTAGATGGCGAATGACAGGCGGGCATTCCGAATGTTTTTCCCAGCTTCTGCCCCATCTTCCAGCACTGCTGCTCTTCTCTCTTTGAGGTCTTCCTTTATAGCTTCTCTGCACTGCTTTGCAAGCTTGGACAATTACTTGCAGTTGCCTGAGGTTTGTGCCAAGCCATATTGGTGAATGAGCTCGAGAGTTTTCAAAGACAGGTGTCTTTTTGTGGCTATCTCTCTCTAGGCATTCTTTGCACAATCATGGAGGTGCTGAACCAGTCGATCGTATTCCTTGTCTATGTTGTCAATGACGGCATCTCCCCATGTTGCTGCAATAGTGCCAAAGAGCTCCCAGTTGTAGTCGTTCTGGGAGTTCCCTTCTTAAACTTTGCAACCCTTTCTCCTCGCTCTGTGAAGTAGAATTTTGCATGAAGGAGATGGTGGTCTGATCCCGTTTGGAATTTTGGGACAATGGCAACATCGGTCAGGCAAGATCGTCGATTGAATATGATGTGGTCAATTTCGTTGTGGAACTGTCCACCGGGAGACTCCCATGTCCACCATTTAGATTTGGCCTTCTGGAATTGTGAGTTACCATGGATGGTCTGGGTCGACATGATGAACTCAGACAGTCTCTCACCCTGTTTGTTCCATTCTAGGCCATAGATCCCAATATGGAGTTCTTTGGCTGATCTTCTCAGTCCTGTCTTGGCATTAAAATCACCGACAATGATCTTGTAGAAGGTGTGGTCTTCTTTATAGAACTTCTCCAGCTCCATGTAGAATTTCTCAATGTCTCCTTCATAATTGGATGTTTGTGCATAGACAATGAAGATAGAAACTGCTGGCAGTGAGCCACATCTATTCGATTATAATCATCCTATTTGGGTTGTTAGGCATTCAAATTAATCAATGTTTATGGCCAAGTTTTTGTTGACAAGGACACCAACACCACTGATGCCTCTTTTGTCACATGTTCCGAGGATCAGTTCTTCTCCAGTGTCAAAAACGGTGTGATGTGATTGATGCCTTCTCATCTTGGTCAGACCAATGATGTCGTACTTGATCTTTTCTGCTTGCACCATCAGGTCCTCGGTGGATGCATCTGATGCCAGTGTACATGCATTGGAAGTAAAGACTGTCATTTTTGTCCTTCTTTGTTTTGGCAGCCTAGTTCAGCCCTGAGATTTTATCAGACCTTCACTACCTCGACCACCTCTACTACCCAGGTGCTGCCACGCTCCAGGATGGTTTTCGGACACTTGGGCCAAGACTCACACACAAGA